GGTGGAGAATCTGTAAAGGCTGTAACTAATGCTAAGGTACTAGGTGTGGTATTGGACTCAGGACTATCGTTTGTGCAACATGCGTCCGATATTTCTGAAAGAGCGACCAAGGGATTCGGCAAGATGACTCGCGTATCGACATCATCATGGGGTGTCCGATACCCGAGCCTAAAAATAATATATAGAGGAGTGTTTGTATCCACGCTCACGTACGCGGCGGAGTGCTGGTACGAGCGTGCGAACATGTACGCAGTTCGCAGCGCACTGCTGAGATCGCAGCGATCAGCCCTTATATTGCTGACTAAGGCGTATCGATCCACCAGTACGGCGGCCTTACCGGTGCTGGCTGGCGTTCTCCCTTCTGACCTGGAGGTCATCCGTGCTGGTAGGATGGGCATTGCACGTTTGACCGCGCCCAAAGAGGAGTTGAGCAGACGGAAGCGCGAAATTTGGACTGAGGTGATCGGTGTTTGGCAGGATCGATGGACGAATGAATCAAAAGGACGCGAGCTCTATCGGTTCTTCCCGGAAGTGGCGTTGCGACTCAGGTATACCTGGGTCGCACCGGACTATCAAACTTCTCAGATTCTCACCGGACATGGATGTTTTCGGAAGAGACTGAGTGAAATGGGACTGTGTGAAACAAGTATGTGTGAGTGTGGTGCGATAGAGGAGGACGTTCACCATGTTCTATGGGAATGTCCTCTGTATGACGACCTAAGAGCGAAGATGATGGATGGATTAGTTCGTACGGTTCAAGGACCGATTTACTACTCGGATCTCGTCAGCGATGGGGTGAACTACGGGCTGTTGCGCGAATTTGCGCACAGGTGGCATGACATAAGGATAAGGCAGGACAGAATGTTGGCAGAAAGGTCTGACGACGTAGGCGTAATAGTGCCGTCAGCCCCAGAAGGGGGAGAATGACAAACTGGGACAAGGAGTAGATTAAATAACTTGTAGAGAGTCAAGAAAGTGCATGCGGGAAAGAGCCCTGAGCAAGTACCGCGTGCACCTCTCGTGATTCGGCCCATATAACCGCAAGGTTGGTGGGGCCATGGGAGGTGGTGGGTTGTCCCTATCTACTATCTAGCGAAACCACAGCCAAGGGAACGGGCTTGGGAGAATCAGCGGGGAAAGAAGACCCTGTTGAGCTTGACTCTAGTCTGGCATTGTAAGGAGATATGAGAGGTGTAGCATAAGTGGGAGATCGTTCGCGCGGTCGTCGCTGAAAAACCACTACTTTCATTGTTTCATTACTTACTCGGTTGGGCGGAAGCGGTGCGCGGTCGATTTTATCGGCGGGCGCACGGTGTTTCGTTCCAAGCGTGCAGAGTGACGGCGTGGCGGCAACGCCCGTCGCCGTACAACTCCCGCGTGATCCGGTTCGAGGACACTGCCAGGCGGGGAGTTTGACTGGGGCGGTACATCTGTCAAAGAATAACGCAGGTGTCCTAAGGCCAGCTCAGCGAGGACAGAAACCTCGCGTGGAGCAAAAGGGCAAAAGCTGGCTTGATCCAGATGTTCAGTACGCATAGGGACTGCGAAACCACGGCCTATCGATCCTTTAGTATAAAGAGTTTTTAGCAAGAGGTGCCAGAAAAGTTACCACAGGGATAACTGGCTTGTGGCGGCCAAGCGTTCATAGCGACGTTGCTTTTTGATCCTTCGATGTCGGCTCTTCCTATTGTAACGAACCCCCCCCCCCCATCTTTTTTCTTTTCTACTAAATCCCACTTATAATTGTATTTCTTTAGAATCTATATCTGTAAGATATATAAATACATCTAATTTACGTGACCAGTATAACTTGATCTTTCTAAAGGTTTAAATATAGGCCGTTTAATAAATTTATGGCGTGATCGTCTTAGTTAGGACCCTTTTTTACGTTGTGTTTGTATAGTAACTTAGTTCTTTTAGGTGTATCTTGGAAGAATGAATATTCACGAGAGCAATCGAAAGCTGTTGGTAGAGTCTTATAAGCTAAAGAACCCCGTTCACGAAGACAGAGCTCAAAAGGTTAAGAACAATAAATTGTCCCTATTCCACTTGTATCTGGTTCACAACAGTCAATTCCTTATTAATTAATCCCTTCCCGCTTGGAAAAGGCTCACAATATTTATATCAAATACCAGTTACAAGGGCTTCGCTCTCCCACATTTAAAAAAAAAATGTGGAGGAGGTACACGGCCCCACACACGCCGCGCACGGTGAGCGCCAACCATTTTAATGCGCTCCCCCCGAAGGGTACGCAAAGTTGGGAACTGGACCGTAGTCCACAGCAAAATAACTGGCGAACCAGTAAAAGAGGACTTGGCCCCTTGATAGTGCGTAAGCACAAACATCGACCGAAGTCGCGCATGTCAATGCGTGTAAACGCCATACAGAATACGATCAAATCCAGTCACAGTGAATGTACGTCACACGGGTTAGGCAACAATAGGCACACTGACCATAAAAAGCCTTCCGTGAGCGCCACCACCTGCCAGACCGCCGTTCCTGCAGACGTGATGTAAGTGTAAGGCATCACCACCAATTGCATGGTCAGCACGGCCAATTGGCCGCAGAGCGTGTCATGAGTCTACCGCTCACCTCAAGGGAATGGGGTCCCACGTTGCGCGGCTTTCGGCCGCAGCCTTGAGAGCCTCCTCAGATTCTCCCTCCAGCTACCACCCGCATGAGGTCAACACATATGCTCCACCAACCAATACAATGGCAGATATAGCCAATAGGCAGTTATAAGATAATATTAATAATTCGCCATCAGAAAGGGTTTGTGTCACTGACGTTGAGTATATGCATTTTTCGATCATGTTTGTCTCACCCACCAACAAGTTGCCTTCAATCTCTCAAAGGTGGGAACTTTATAGAGATATATTATTAAGTTGTTATATAAAACATCATGGAGGGCAGACAGTCTGCAGCCCCGCTATGAAGGGACCCGACTTGGGCAAAGCTACTTAGGTTGTGAGAATAGCGACCCGCCAAACAACCATCGTAGAGACGCAATGCTACAGAATGCAACAAGCATCAATACGACTATCGTCGGGCTTACACCATCCCAAGGTCCCCCATACAGTCCCAGCAGACATCACCACCCGCATACCTCCATCGACCAGAACCACAAGATGCATCGAATCAGGTGCAGCACACCCGCAGATCCATCACAAGACACAATACTGCAAGTAGCAGTAAGCATCAATGCAACTATCATACGGATGGCGCCCCCTCACAACACACCCACATGATCCCTATCGACTTTGGTAACAAAATTTGATAATGTTGTTAACTAAAAATACCACCAACGTATCATAGTAGTACGGTACTAAGACGTCAGTAGCCAAAACTCCACGTATCATAGCGCTATTGCACTAAGACATGAAGTTGAGTATGCTTGCTGCACTTAAAAGTACTACCAAACACACTCACCCTAATCCGAAAGATAGCCGACGTATCATAACGCTATGCGCTAAGACGCCGCCCACAACCGGTAGGGGTGTGCGATGTCCACGGGCAAGTCGTATTGCTACAACAAACCCGCTTACCACCGGCACTAAGATGATATGTCTAGGACACATCGGTTAGTGAGTCCAAGTTTACCTCGGTCTCAGAGGCTGCGAAGCAACCTACACGCCACTATAATAATCCTTTTCAAGTCCCATTTCTTTCAATATAATGCTTTTACATATTTGAGACCTTCCACATATTTGCTTTATTTCATAGACCATACTATTGTATGTCTTATTCATAAGGGACTTCAAGTCATAACTCTGCTATCATAATGCTTATACATCATAGAGTCCTTCTATATTAATGCTTTGGTTCGTCAGACCTTACTAAGTTAAGTCCCTAATATAGGACTAGTCATTGTGCAACCTTAGTACTAGCAGTCGGTCAGCCGACCACCCCATATATATGTACAACCTTGGGTATGTGTCTCCGACAACGCCCCAATATAAGGGAACATTACAAGAACACGTTCATTAACTTAGAAATTTTCCAATTATTACACGAACACCTTCATCAACTTAGAAAATTTTAATCCATTTTTTCTATTATATTACAAATGTTATTTATCTTTGTTATTGCAATATAATCGCCTTGTATTTATATGATTTGATATATTTTAAACATTTTAAGCAGGTTTTTTAATAAATTTAGAGATTTTTAGAGACATTTTATGCGTTTACTAATATATATAATATTCAATATTCCAAATGGATATTTTTGAACTCTATGCTTATTATTTGCATTTTATTATTTAAATTATAATTTCTATGACATTTTTAAATGTCTGTATAATGAATATAATTATTATTTATTAATAATAATTATGAGGCGTCACAATCCACCCCCAAATTTTATGTTAATGATCCACATAGTGGAGTCGTTAATATAAAATTTTAGTATTTTGAGAGCATATACACTACACTCAAATAATTGTTTATATATCTGTTCTTTCCTCTTTTAATCTGTTACAATACGGCATATGTTTTCAAATCCCCCTGCCCCAGAGAATGGCCGCCACCAACACCCCTTCAACCACAATTATCACAATGTGATAACACCATAATTCAAGTTATTGTATATCGTGTTGTTAATAAAGTTTGCAGTCAATTATCGATTTCTTATTTTATTAATTTATCTTTAAATCTTTGAAACATTATTTCGATAGTGTCACACTTTATGTGTATACAATCCACTTGGATATTTGTTGAGGTCAGTTCGATACCACATAGGATAAATGTGATTAAGCCATTCACCCTGACCCAAATCCCATATTTATTTAATAAAAATGATTACAAAATTATCTTACGATCTATATTTACAACTCTTCATTATATATTAATAACGTTCTTCTATCATATAACAAATCTCTTGCTCATAACTTTAATAATTTTAGACCTTTAACTTAAACAATTATTTCCATGGGCCACCCACAAAACCCTTTTATGTTACAATATTTATTTAATTATTTTAATTTATACAAAAAGAAATTATTATTTAAAATATTTTAATAAGTGAATAGCATTAAAAATTCCTCTAATTTCGTTTGTCTCTGGATTTGCTAAGGTATATACATTGTCAAATGGTATGGCTGCTATTACATAAGGCCCTTCATATGCCAAATTGAACTTACTCATAACTTTATTATCAGCGTCTGATCTACTAGATCTTGAAATTTTTACTAAGTCACCAATATTATATTTTATTAATCTATTTCGCTTATCAAATTTTATGTTTCTTATTCGACTTGCCTCTTTTAAATTTTTACGCACTTGTTGTCTAATTTGTTCGACATTATGTTTTTCTTTGCTTTTGGAAATTACTTTGTCAAAAGACATCTCATTAGACTCACCATAAAGAATTTCACAAGGCGTGAAGCCTGTACTATTGTGATAAGAATTATTATACAATTCTTCTAATTTCGGCAATATTAACGCCCAATCTTTGTGGTTAGTATGACAAAGCGTCCTAAATAATCTGCTCAACTCTTTATTTACTCGCTCTGTTGTATTTGGTCTAGGATTTCTAACTGTGGTATATATTGGCTTTATATTTAAATCTCTCATTGATTGTTTCCAGTGATTACTTACGAACTGTTTTCCATTATCTGTCATTATTGCCTTGGGCTTTATAATCTCAACAAAATGCTTTACTTTTGTTACAACAGACTTTGCTGTTGACTGTTTTAAAGGATATAATTTGATAAATTTACTGAATGAATCTTGAATGACAAATATGAAAGTGTAACCAAAGGTACCTGATACAAGCGGTCCATATAAGTCATGACTATATCGCCAATGTTTTCTGTTATTATAGATTTGCAGGGACCCACATATGTTATATTGCTTTTCTTAGATAACTGACATAAATGACAAGCCCTTAATTGGTTTTTAATATCTTTTGTTAAACCTTTCCAAAAGAATCTGTCTCTCACATATTTAATTACCTTATAGGGTCCTTGATGACCCATTTCGACATGCACTTGATTTATAATATCTTGTCTCAATGCTTTAGGTAAATATATTACTTCTTGTAAATTCGTTTTGTAATATAATACATCATTTTTCAAACTATACCTTTTAAATTTATTGTTTTGTTTTATTATGGAAGTATTTAATGTCTTTAACTTTTCAATAATAGCCAACGACTCTGAATCTTGTAATTGATATACTGATAAGGATTTTAATTTTTCTATCAACTCAATATTCGGTTCGCTCTCTGTGTAAGCAATTTCTAAACTATTATTTTTATCCTCTTGTATTAAATCGCCATCAGGAGGATAACGTGATAGCACATCTGCAACAATATTACGTCCACCCGATATATGCTGTACTTCATAATTAAATTGTTCTATATACAAAATCCATCGGGTTACTCTACCATTGAATAACTTCATATTATTAAGAAACAATAATGCTTTATGATCAGTTAGTATTATTACTTTACTGCCCCGCAAATATGTTTCAAATTTCTTTAGGCAACTTATTACAGCATAAAACTCTTGTTCAGTAACAGACCAATTTAATTCGGGGCCTTTTAAGGCTTTACTATGATAGCCTAAAATTCTCATTTCATTATTATCATCTATCTGATATAGTACTCCGGCCATACCCACACCGGAACAATCTGTTTGTAAATAATACGGCTTATTCAAGTCTGGATGATGCAATTGTATTGTATTAATAAATTGTTGTTTTATAAAATCAAATGCCTTCTGTTCTTTACCGCTCCATTGGAACTTTCGTCCCTTTTTAAGTAATTCACAGAGCGGTATTATGCTCTCGCTGTAATTTGGTATAAACCTTCTATAAAAATTGCATAGACCTAAAAAGGCCCTTAATTGTTTAATCTTTTTAGGTGCTGGAAACTCTTGGATCGCTCGAATCTTATCGGGATCTGTCTTTATGCCTTCTGTTGAAATTATAAAACCCAGCATTTTAATTTCTTTACAAATAAATTCACATTTCTGCAAGTTACACGTTAAGCCAGCTTTGTTCAATTTACTTAAAACAATATCAATGTGCTCCAAATGTTTATCTAACGTTCCTGTTGTAATAATGGCTAGATCATCTAAATAGTTCACACAAAATTCTTGGACTTCTGGTCCTAATATTAAATTCATGGCTCTGCTAAAGCTTCCTACTGATGTTTTTAATCCTTGCGGCAAAACATTATATACATATGACTTTCCATTGAATGTGAATCCAGTATATTTTCTACCATCTTTATTTATCGGAATTTGAAAATATGCATTATTTAAGTCAATGGTAGTGATATAATTCGCTCCGTGAAATGAATTCAAAACATCTAATTGTATAGGTGGTTTCTCTGTTTCTGCAACCATTTTCTTATTTATGCTTCTGGCATCAAGCAGAACTCTAATTGAGCCGTCTTTTTTAAGAGTGAATGTCAATGGACTACTGTAAGGCGTTGATGTCCTTGTGATGATACCAGCTTGTTCCATTTCATTTAACTTTTCTTCCATTTTCGCTCTATATGCATATGGAATGGGATAGGACCTAGTAACTATAGGTTCATCATCGATCATTTCAATTTTATGCTCATAGCAATTGGCTCTTCCCAATTTGCTCGAAAACATATTCTTATGCTTTTCCAAAACCTTACTAAGTTTTGCCCTTTCAGAGACCTCCAATGTAGATCCTATTTTTATATTTATTAAGGGATCATCGGTACATTGTTTGATGCAGTTATTATGTAATACAGATTTATTATTATATTTGAAAGGTATAAAGTAGTCTTTGTTTTTCACTTTAAATTCTATTCCAACAGTAGTATTTCTCAAATCAATCAATATTTTATTTCTCTTGAGCCAGTCAAAGCCTAATATTAAAGGTCTTATTAAATTACCTACAATTAAAGTTTGTGTTTCAAAGACTACTTCATCTATCTTTATAGGCAATATGATCATCTGTTGTATTTTTGTGCTGCGCTGCCCAACAGCACCTTTTATTTGCATTGCTTTAACTGGCATTATTGATATTTTACGATTATTATCTTTAATTTGTAAATATAAACTTTCTGAAATGCATGTAACATCGCTCCCAGTGTCAAGGAGCGCGTCTATTTCTTTGTCAAATATTGAAACTTTAATTTCAGATCTCATATTCCCTATAAATTCCCTTTGATATTTATCTTCGTCTTCCTCGAAGACGGTTTGCACGAATAACTCCGTTATGGGCAAGTCCGACCTGGCTTTTAAGGTGTTTAATATGCTATTTACATTGTCGTTATAACCAAGGCCTTCTCTGTTAAAATTTGCTTTTAAAGTAATAGGTTTTCGCAACCCTCTATTGTTTTTACCCAATGTTTGACCAGGTCGCCAACCCAGTTTTAATAACATATTTAATGCTTTGTTCCCTTTTACATTGTAAGGGGTCGAATTGGGAACTAGTTCGACCTCTACAGCTCTAAATTTGGCTCAGGGGCCGTAACATCAGGTTGGTCATTAGTGAAATGTATTTCATGTACTTCATTAACCTTCTTTTTTCCCTCTTCGGGTTTACGCCATATTTTGTATGATTGTTGTATTTCTTTATGTTTTTGCTCCGTATTATTATTAAACTTCCTCCTTTTCTCATTATAGTAAGGTTCACGACCTTCATCTTGTTTGTCGATGTCATCTAAGTTTCTTAAGAAATCTGTCGTGTCTATTATTGTCTCAATTTTAGCTATTCTCCATAATTGCTGCACAGTTTTAGGATAATGTCTGATGACATCAGTTACTAATTGTTTTTCAGGTATCGGATATGATAATGTTTGTGCCTTCTCAACCACATAAAGAAAATAACTAACCATGGTGGGGTGTGTACTTCTATTCCATTTATTTTGCACAAGGAATCTCTTTACTTTATTTTGTTCTTCTTCACCCCAAAACACTCTTAGGAAGTCAGCTTTAAAATCATCAAAAGTTGTCCAACGCACATTATTAATGCGAGCCCAATACTTGGCTTCACCTACTAAGCACTCTTGTGCAATCGAAATTTCGAGACCATTAGATGGAACTTTCTTTAAATAATTGGTGAGATCTTCCAAAAATGATACTGGATGAGTATTTCCATTTCCGAATTTCGGCTTTTCTATTGTTACATTATGTACATTATATACAATATTTTGTCTAGGATCATTGACATGAGAGGTGCTCGCCCCGGACACCTCTCCTTGATTTATTTTAATTTGGTGACCTTTCGTTTGGTTAATAAATTTTTCCTCAAGATCCTTTATTTTAACCTCAAAGGATTTCACTGCATTCTTAATTAATTTTTGAAGCATTTTCATCTCATCTTTAGACTTAGCCTTAATTGAGGTTGATTTTTTCTTATTTTTAGCCATTTTTAATTTTTATTACCACTTGTTTTTTTTTTTTACACTTTTTGTGTCCTTCACTTACTTTAGTTGAGTTTTTCCACTTATTTCACTTTATAATATATAGTATTGCAGTTTTTTTTTTAACACCTGTTGTGTCCTTCACTTAGTTTAATTGAGTCTTTCCACTTATTTCACTTTATAATATATAGTATTGCAGTTTTTTTTTTTTTTTTTTTACACTTGTTGTGTCCTTCACGTAGTTTAATTGAGTCTTTCCACTTATTTCACTTTTTATTATTTCGCTCCGGTATGCACACACCTCCTATATTATTACTCCATTTTAATATTTAAGCCCCACCCCCAGACTCTCAACCACCCCCAGCAAACACCACTCTCCAAGACACCTCTCCATTTCACGGACAACAAATTGTAGACATATAGCCTACCTCATAATTTTATATTACCGGCCTCCTATTTAAAATTTAACCTCTATCCTGGTCACGGCACCAAATTGTAACGAACCCCCCCCCCCATCTTTTTTCTTTTCTACTATATCCCACTTATAATTGTATTTCTTTAGAATCTATATCTGTAAGATATATAAATACATCTAATTTACGTGACCAGTATAACTTGATCTTTCTAAAGGTTTAAATATAGGCCGTTTAATAAATTTATGGCGTGATCGTCTTAGTTAGGACCCTTTTTTACGTTGTGTTTGTATAGTAACTTAGTTCTTTTAGGTGTATCTTGGAAGAATGAATATTCACGAGAGCAATCGAAAGCTGTTGGTAGAGTCTTATAAGCTAAAGAACCCCGTTCACGAAGACAGAGCTCAAAAGGTTAAGAACAATAAATTGTCCCTATTCCACTTGTATCTGGTTCACAACAGTCAATTCCTTATTAATTAATCCCTTCCCGCTTGGAAAAGGCTCACAATATTTATATCAAATACCAGTTACAAGGGCTTCGCTCTCCCACATTTAAAAAAAAAATGTGGAGGAGGTACACGGCCCCACACACGCCGCGCACGGTGAGCGCCAACCATTTTAATGCGCTCCCCCCGAAGGGTACGCAAAGTTGGGAACTGGACCGTAGTCCACAGCAAAATAACTGGCGAACCAGTAAAAGAGGACTTGGCCCCTTGATAGTGCGTAAGCACAAACATCGACCGAAGTCGCGCATGTCAATGCGTGTAAACGCCATACAGAATACGATCAAATCCAGTCACAGTGAATGTACGTCACACGGGTTAGGCAACAATAGGCACACTGACCATAAAAAGCCTTCCGTGAGCGCCACCACCTGCCAGACCGCCGTTCCTGCAGACGTGATGTAAGTGTAAGGCATCACCACCAATTGCATGGTCAGCACGGCCAATTGGCCGCAGAGCGTGTCATGAGTCTACCGCTCACCTCAAGGGAATGGGGTCCCACGTTGCGCGGCTTTCGGCCGCAGCCTTGAGAGCCTCCTCAGATTCTCCCTCCAGCTACCACCCGCATGAGGTCAACACATATGCTCCACCAACCAATACAATGGCAGATATAGCCAATAGGCAGTTATAAGATAATATTAATAATTCGCCATCAGAAAGGGTTTGTGTCACTGACGTTGAGTATATGCATTTTTCGATCATGTTTGTCTCACCCACCAACAAGTTGCCTTCAATCTCTCAAAGGTGGGAACTTTATAGAGATATATTATTAAGTTGTTATATAAAACATCATGGAGGGCAGACAGTCTGCAGCCCCGCTATGAAGGGACCCGACTTGGGCAAAGCTACTTAGGTTGTGAGTCAAACCAAGACGCAGAGAGCGCCATTGAGAATAGCGACCCGCCAAACAACCATCGTAGAGACGCAATGCTACAGAATGCAACAAGCATCAATACGACTATCGTCGGGCTTACACCATCCCAAGGTCCCCCATACAGTCCCAGCAGACATCACCACCCGCATACCTCCATCGACCAGAACCACAAGATGCATCGAATCAGGTGCAGCACACCCGCAGATCCATCACAAGACACAATACTGCAAGTAGCAGTAAGCATCAATGCAACTATCATACGGATGGCGCCCCCTCACAACACACCCACATGATCCCTATCGACTTTGGTAACAAAATTTGATAATGTTGTTAACTAAAAATACCACCAACGTATCATAGTAGTACGGTACTAAGACGTCAGTAGCCAAAACTCCACGTATCATAGCGCTATTGCACTAAGACATGAAGTTGAGTATGCTTGCTGCACTTAAAAGTACTACCAAACACACTCACCCTAATCCGAAAGATAGCCGACGTATCATAACGCTATGCGCTAAGACGCCGCCCACAACCGGTAGGGGTGTGCGATGTCCACGGGCAAGTCGTATTGCTACAACAAACCCGCTTACCACCGGCACTAAGATGATATGTCTAGGACACATCGGTTAGTGAGTCCAAGTTTACCTCGGTCTCAGAGGCTGCGAAGCAACCTACACGCCACTATAATAATCCTTTTCAAGTCCCATTTCTTTCAATATAATGCTTTTACATATTTGAGACCTTCCACATATTTGCTTTATTTCATAGACCATACTATTGTATGTCTTATTCATAAGGGACTTCAAGTCATAACTCTGCTATCATAATGCTTATACATCATAGAGTCCTTCTATATTAATGCTTTGGTTCGTCAGACCTTACTATGTTAAGTCCCTAATATAGGACTAGTCATTGTGCAACCTTAGTACTAGCAGTCGGTCAGCCGACCACCCCATATATATGTACAACCTTGGGTATGTGTCTCCGACAACGCCCCAATATAAGGGAACATTACAAGAACACGTTCATTAACTTAGAAATTTTCCAATTATTACACGAACACCTTCATCAACTTAGAAAATTTTAATCCATTTTTTCTATTATATTACAAATGTTATTTATCTTTGTTATTGCAATATAATCGCCTTGTATTTATATGATTTGATATATTTTAAACATTTTAAGCAGGTTTTTTAATAAATTTAGAGATTTTTAGAGACATTTTATGCGTTTACTAATATATATAATATTCAATATTCCAAATGGATATTTTTGAACTCTATGCTTATTATTTGCATTTTATTATTTAAATTATAATTTCTATGACATTTTTAAATGTCTGTATAATGAA